CCCGCGCGAAGGTGCATTGGGGCAAGCTGGATACGGAGAAGCTGGTGAAGGACGGGCCGCTGGAGGGCAAGGCGCATCGCTATCTCGAGAAGTATTATGATGGCGTTATGAAGGGCGCTCGTCTCGTGGCCGATGAATGTACCAAGGACACAATTTTAGAGTGAATTCACTTCTGTCATGTTTGTAATTTAAGGACGAAGTTACTTGCACTATGTAGCGCTTTTTTATTTAAAATATTACCTTCTGTGCGGCCGTTTATAAAATTCTGAAAGTAGGCCAGTCGTCGGCTTCCGCCCCCACGTAACTAGTATTGGGGTGTTCGTGGAAAACCCGGACACTCTTTATCCAAATGTTTGGTCCCTAAAGGAGGTGTCTAGCGCATCGAACAAGGAAATCGGACTATGCGGCTTTATAACCTTCACTTAGCCATAGAAGTCTACAATTTTAAATTTCGGCGAAGCCCCTAGAATTCGGAAGGACGAACTGGGGCGCTATATACGCCTAAATCGTATGAAGCCGATTCCTCGCCTAAAGAAGAAAAATCTTTAAGGATTTTAAGACCTCTCGAACAGCGACCAGCTCTCGCCGCATCATGCCGGTCAGTTTTCGGCTTTCTATACTGAGGTGCTCGTCCGGAAGAACCGGGACACAATCGCAGTAGTTCTCCCTGCGCTACCTTAGCCGATATAACGGAACGTAAGGTACCAAAACAAGGGAGCCGGGCTAACCCAACTATGGACCCAAGACATGATTCGGAGCTAATGCATATAGTGCTATAAGTTTGGGGTGCCGCACTGTTGAAAGTGTTCGGACTTTACTTGCCGTATTACGGAGCGCCATAAGAAGCTCGTGGCAAAATAAACATACCAAAGTGTACGGATGCAATATCAAATAAACATTTGTAAGAAAAAATGCTCAAATAAGAATAATAAGCTGACACTATATATGATCTCCCATTGATGAATAATACGTTTAAGCGTATGTTTACAATGGGTGCGTTTAAGCAGAAGTAAATAGGACTATTTAACATGTCCTATCCAAGGGCAGGCTGCATGTAGGTATATAAAACAGGTATAACGATCATGAACAGATTCCACCTGGGTATTTTCCTTTGTGCGCAAAGCCTGTTACCTCCTTGGTTTTCTCTCCTATGTAAGTCCGACAATCCGGCTCTTCTGAAGAGGCTGCCCTAAAGCAGTGTCCTGAAAGATAAAAAGGAAAGGTTATGAAGGTATGTTGCGGTGATACCGCACTGTTGACTGAGTCACTGCTGCGCCACCGTCTGTGCCCATGGTATTTTGAGTGCGTAATTGTGTATGCATGGCACAAATGCTGCTTTGATGGGGCTTGAGCGGAGGCCGGACTACTAGTCACGCTCTTGGCGTGCCTGGTGGTCCTGTTGCGGGGTGCTCCGGACTCGCTTGACGGTGCTCGAGGTTGTCACTGCCGGATTGGTGGTTTGTCGGAGGAGGCCACATTGTACTTCCGCCGCGATGGCTGCAGTATGCTCTTCTATACGAAGAGAGCGGTCCATATTTCCATTGACTGTTATGACCCCGCGCGGGCCTGGCATCTTGAGCTTGATGTATGCATAGTGTGGTACCGCATTGAATCTAGCGAATGCGGTTCGTCCGAGCAGTGCATGGTAACCACTACGGAAAGGGACGATATCGAAGTTTAACTCTTCGCTTCGGAAGTTATCCGAAGATCCGAAGACCACTTCCAATGTTATAGAGCCGTACAACGGGCCTCTACTCCAGGAATTTCACCTTTAAAGGTGGTTTTGGTGGGCTTGATCCTTGAAGGGTCGATGCCCATTTTGCGCACTGTGTCCTAATAAAGCAGGTTCAAGCTGCTGCCGCCGTCCATAAGGACTCGCGTGAGGTGGAATCCGCCGATAATTGGGTCTAGGACCAATGCGGCTAAGCCGCCGTGACGGATGCTTCCCACTCAAGCCGGACATAGTTTGGCCAAGAGCCTCCTGACAAAGAGAGAGACTTTAATGAGTTCAGCATGTCGCCAAAGGGCGAGTGCTGGAAGATATCCGCAGCGGTAAACTCCATTACCAGAGCCCAGCCAGGCTCGGCGGGAACGGGAGCACGCGGACTGGAACCTACAACCGGATACGAGTCCCAGGGTCCGGAGTCATAGGCTTCCTTAGAAGTGAGGCATGTGCTCGGCTCTACCGCCGATGAGTGTGCAGCCTACGGGGCAGGGTCCATCCACCCGTCTGTGGGCCATGCAGTCTGCTCTGGATTTAGGTCCGGGGCTACTGCAGGGGTGATATCCCAAGCATTATCCGACAGCAGGTCTAAGCCGTGCTCATCGTGACTGTCCGGTGTTCCTGGCACAGGCCCGATTCCATCGAAGATCAAGTCTTCGTGGATATCGGCCGTGTAGTTCAGGTTTCCGAACCTGACCTGGTGGCCAGGGGCGTAGCTGTCGATCTGCTCCAGATGGCCAAGTGAATTGGCCCGCAGTGCGAAGCCGCCGAACACGAAGATCTGTCCGGGGAGAAAAGTCTCGCCCTAGACCGTGTTGTTGACGATTGAAGGCGCCATCAAGCCTTGCAGCGACGACACAAAGGAACTCTCAATGAAAGCACCAATGTCGGTGTCAAAACCGGCGGATCTCGAGTAGGGGTCCCGATCTATGCGTCTTAGGCTGATGGTAACAGGAAGCAAGGGACACAATATTTACCCAGGTTCGGGCCCTCTCGATGGAGGTAAAACCCTACTTCCTACTTGATTAATATTGACGATATGAGTAGTACAAGAGTAGATCTACCACGAGATCGTAGAGGCTAAACCCTAGAAGCTAGCCTATGATGATTATGATTGTAATTGTGATCGGCCTTCTAAGGACCAACCTCTCGGGTTTATATAGACACTCGAGAGGGCTAGGGTTTACACGGAGTCGGTTACAAGGAAGGAAACACAATATCCGGATCGCCAAGCTTGTCTTCCACGCAAAGAAGAGTCCCATCCGGACACGGGACGGAGTCTTGAGTCTTGTATCTTCACGCTCCAATAGTCGAGACGACGTATATAGTCCGGCTGTCCGGATACCCCCTAATCCAGGACTTCCTCAGCGGTGGCGACGACGATGAAATTCCTCCTTCGGTGTTGGAGGAGGAGGTCATGCGATGGCGACGAGGAACGCGGGGCCAAGTGGCGACGACGGGCGACACGGTGACTAGGGGTGCGCGGCGGCGAGGAGCGATGGCACCGAGGGGCGCGGCGGTGATTCAGGCGAGATTTAAGGGGGGAAGAGATGGCGCGGGGAGAAATGACACGTTTTGGGGGAGTGGTGGGAATGGTTTTTGTGAAAATTGAACCGCCAACATAGTGAGTTACAAGTGGAGGGCGGGGCATAAAGCCTGCCACACCTATGGCAACAAGTAGTGGCGGTCACTACCAGGAGGTCGCTGCTGCTAAAATGACCTCATGGGACCCCCTCCCCCACGCCCCCCAACAAAAGTTACGGCGATTTTAGCTGTGGCGGGGCGAGAGATTTTCCCGCCACGACTAGTAGAAGGATCAGTGGTGGGCGCCATACGTCGCACGCCGCTACCGTGTTTCATCACGGGATAAGATTTGGAATGGTTCACCTGTGGCGGGCGACAATGCGTGCTCGCCACTCCTACTCATGTAGTTGTGGCGGGCTGATTTTGCTACCCGCCACGGCTTTCTTCCAAAAATAGTTGTGGTTGGTTCCCCGCCGTGCCCGCCACTTATTGGGTTCACCTATAAGCTTTTTTCCAGTAGTGTACCTCTGGCACCACCATAGCAGCCACCAAAGGAGAAAATGACGGATCACCTTCATACCCGAGCACGGCGCGACTCCATCGCTGATATGCAACTTTGCGGACCTTCAAGGTGGCTCACCAATAAAAGCGAAACCATTATCGTTGAACGAATCAGACCAGGGCAGCACCCCGGACACGCCATCGAATTCCAAATCTGGCACCACCGCCCAACTAAGACGTTGGAGGAGGAAACCATACTTGCCTGCCGCGAACCAGAAACCGAGCGCACGATCACCATGTTCCAGTTGTCGCCGATGCAGACCACAATCTGCATCAGCTCCTGGACTACTTCCCAAGCTCCACCCCAGGCTGGAGCAAACATCGTCGCAACGTCGGAACCCGAGGACACAGGTCCACCACGAGGATGCCGCCGCCGCTGCACCATCCTTACTTGAACATGCTGCTTTCCAAATCCACCCCAAAAGTGGATCGCCTCGTTGGGGAAGGATCTGAAGATTTATTAGTCGGCGCCGCCTTCGCCATCACCGAAGCCAAGACAATGAACAACCCAAAACCCTATGAAACTAATGCCTAAAATAATCCACACGTGTGGAGCCTGCGACCCCCCTCACCACCGACGACCGAGGACGTCAGCGGGGAGCCGCCAGAGAACAGCGACGAAGGAAGGCGCCCAGACGGCTGGAGGTGAGATCACCTTTCTTTCTTCTCCTGCAAGAAAGCGATCAATATGGATGTACCCCCTCCGTTCGGAATTACTTGTCACAAAAATGGATAAAAATGAATGTATCTACAACTAAAATACATATTCCTTTTTTTCATGGTAATACGTGTCTCATTCATATCATAAAGAACAAAGTACAAGTCACGTAAAGACCGAAATGACAAAACTGAAAAGACAACAGAACATCTCTGAGCTTGACACCAACGCCCGTCACCTGCCTCCGGCACCACCACAGCAGCCACCGAAGAAAAGAATGACGAATCACCTCCTCACCCGAGCTCGACGCGGCTCCATTCGGAATTACTCGTCCAAAAAATGAATATATCTAGATATATTTTAGTTGTAGATACATTCATTTTTGTGACAAGTAATTCCAAACTGAGGGAGTACTAAACATGTCAACATTAAACGTGTCTAGATTCATCGTTTTTTAGACAAATGTAAGACAATTAATTCGGGACGCGGAGAATATTTTTTAATGGCATCCCCGTGTCTCGTGTATTAAAGGCTATGCTCGTCCCATGTACTACGGCTGTACCCACCCACACCTCCAATCCAACCACCGGCCAGCAGGAGCAAGCCATGGCGGAGCAGCAGGTCGTGGACGCCATGAAGGACCAGGCCGCCCTCTCGATGCGTCTCCTCCGTGGCCTCGGCCTCCGCGGCGAGCAAAACCTCGCCTTCTCGCCCGCGTCTTTCCACGCCACCCTCTCCCTCCTCGCGGCTGGTACCGCCGGTGCCATTCGGGACCAGATCGTCTCCTTCCTGGGCCCCGCCGGCGCTGAAGCGCATGCTGCCCTCGTGTCCCACTTTGGCCAAACACCGAGCCACCAGGAAGAGGACGAGGAAGGATATCCCATGGTCCGGTGCGCCACGGGGGTGTGGGTCGACTCCTCACTCCGCCTCAAGCCCACCTTCGCGACCATGGCGGCATCCAGGTTCAACGCGGAGGCGCGAGCCGTCTGCTTTGGGTCAAGCCCCGAGCAGGCCAGGTCCGAGATCAACGAGTGGTTCGAGGGCGAGACAGGCGGCCGGTGGAAGGAGCTTGTACCTGAGGGTTCCATCAACGCCGCCACGGTCATCGTCCTCGCCAACGCGCTCTATTTCAAAGGCTGGTACGACCCCTTCGACCCTGAGCTCACACAAGATGGCGACTTCTACGTCTCGCCCGGGCACGCCGTTCGCACGCCCTTCATGGTGGGGGGCTACCTGCACGAGAACATGTGCATCGCCTGCCACCCCGGCTTCAAAGTCCTGCGGATGCCCTACTGCGGCCACTACCAGGACTGTCGCTCCTCCATGTGCATCTACCTTCCGGACGATCGCGGCGGCCTGCCGGAGTTGGTGCGCGCGCTCAGCTCTGACCCGTCCGTGCTATTCGCCGTACCGGAGAAACTGGTGTCCACGGGCGAGCTGAGGATCCCCAAGTTCGACGTGTCGGTACGTCTCGAGGCCACGCAGATCCTCCGTGATCTCGGGCTGGACCTGCCGTTCCGTCTCACTCCGGCCGGTGAATCCTTCTCGGAGATGCTGGCCTTGGACGAGCACGATTCCAAGATGCCGATGGCGGTGTCGTCCGTCGTCCACCAGTGCTCTGTCAACATCAACGAGCACGGTACCGTGGCCGCCGCAGCCACCGAGATGGAGATTCTGGGGTTTTGCCTGCCGGAGGAGAAGGTCGTAGACTTCGTGGCCGATCACCCGTTCCTTTTTTTCATCATCAAAGAGGAGGACAACAATGGCGTGATTCTTTTCGCCGGCCAAGTAGTCAATCCTCTCTCTTAGAGCAATTAATATGATGAATTTGTTGCAATAAGTATTGTGAGGCGTTACTCGTTATGAATCTTTGTACTAGTACTTCAATCCAAAATCGACTGTTTAGTGTCACTGTCAGCCCATGCACGGGCTTGTGATATTTTCCTTCATTTTCTTGTTTACCTTATAGTACATCATTCTTCATTTCAATCCCGACTATGAAAAACATAAGTACGATCATTTTGATCTAGCCAGCTAATACTCCTAGTTTAAAGCTGCGACACTTATTATAAATCGGAGGAAGTATTTTTTTTTAATCTAATTTGACAACAGTCTAGATTGCGGACAAATGTTACTGGATCTCCTAATCGTAGTTATTCTCTCTTAAGTACTTACTATTTTTATTTTGTAATATGCGACATATACAGGTCTATGGTCTTAATTTTGTTTAGTTTTATTTTTTATGAAATTTGTGTTCTTGGTGATGTGCATTCAACCACAAATTTTAGGAGAGTAACCAAAAGTTGAGTAGTGCAAAAATCTACAAATTGACGATCAACATTCGAGAGCTTGTAAAGGAAGTGTCCCAATTTAATAGGCGAGCAATAGAGTTGCACATATGCACTCCATAAATTGATGATCAACATTGGAGAGCTTGTGAAAGAGTGGGCTTTGGCGCTGGTCTCAGCCGTTCTCCCAGTCCAGATTCAATTGAGTCCAGGAGTTTGTCTCACTCGCCAGCTCAGAGCAAGGGCAAGGCTGTGGTGGTTGAAGAGGGAGAGGGCTCCAGCAGGCCTAGCTCTTCCCCGCACGGCTGGCGCTTGCTTCTATCGCGGTTGCTCCTAGTTTGGTGTCCAGTGGCACAGCTCTTGATGCTGATAGTGACTTAGTGAGGGCCCGGAGTGGCAGATGGTGAGGAATCATCGTCGTCGTAGATCAGCTAGTCTTGCCTTGAAGAAACGGGGCTCGGAAGGTGCACGGCGGCCTGTTACAGCAAACCTTCATGGATTGTGCTTCAATTTCTTGAACCCTGTCTGACACATGGCTGCTACTCGCACACGACGATAGGTTTGCCTTAAGTGTCATCACGAGGGCCACCACGCGGTGGAATGCACTAGTCCTAGGGGTCGTGACGCCATGGATGGGGCATCCTCATCATCATGTGCGCTTTCACGAGCACCTGGAGGACGCTTGTCGCTTGACTCTACGTCCTGCACCTAGTTCCCTACGTCAGCTGGATCATGTTTGAATCACGGCGCCCCGTGCTCCCACTAACTTACTACACTCTGAAGACCATGTCAATCATCCTTATCTGGCACTGGGTTGCGTATGGAGCGATCCTCAGAACCCAATGCGCTTCAGGTAGTTCATAATCAGGAGTCTTGGTCACTGTCTGCTGGAGATATGGTATCAAGGTCGTACAGAGATGTAGTTGCCCGGCCATTGCTTTCCTCTTCATAGGCATGCTTGAGAGGGCAGTGAGAGTCATGCTCGTCCTAGGACTACATGCCCCCTCCCCTGTCGCGCGCCCCTAGTGTCAAAAATTCCCAGTCATAATAGTCTACATTTATAACTTATTGGTCACACGTCCTACGACAGAAAAATAGAAAAGTCCATATTTCAATCCCAAACTAGCCACACGATTTAAAACTCAACACTGAGCTTGAAATCGGTCGACTTACACTCCGAGCTAATCATGAAGTACGAAAATCAACCATGATCTCGGTTTTGAACCACCCAAGTGGTTTTGACTGTTGACTAGGCAGCGTCATATCACTTTATGACACATGTGGGTCTCTCTTTCTCTCCCTGTCACTGTATGCTACTAGTGTGTTCTTCCCAGAGGTTGAGAACGTCATGCCAGGGGTGAGAGAGGTCATGGTTACAACTTTTTTTTTTTGAGGACGTGGGCATAGCCCAGTGGTTGGGGGCGCATGATTGTAAACCCAACGACCAGAGTTCGATCCACGTCGGGGACGAATTTCTGGAATTCTCATAAGGGATGCTTCTTCTATATCAATAAACCGTGGGTGCTAGTGCCCATGGAGTTTCATTTTTTTTTTTTTTCAAAAAGTGGAGGTTTCCATCTAACCGTGGGAGAGGCCTCCCAACAAGCTTTCAGTAATAGCAGTTTCCATAATGGAGTAAAACAGTAAACGAAAATAGAAAACAAGAAGCACAGTAAATATTTCACTTACCCTTTTTTTTACTTACCAAGGGTACTACACTCACCAGCAACGACGCCAGAAAATAGTCTTGATAGCCCTTGTAGATCTTTTTGATAAATAAGAGTGTCGAACTCAACAAGAGTAGAAGGAATTGACTAATGGAAATTGGTAAGATTTCATTGTAAAAGCTACAAAGATTGCTTTGTTGTTTGTTTGAGCAAGAGAACAAGTGCAAGAATGTAAATTGTAATACAAGTAAACGAGTGAAGCAAGTGTCTCAATCTTTAATTGTGCCAAGGACAAGCCGGTTTACTTCTTATATGGATAAAATCGTTCTGGAGGACAGCGGAGATTTCATCATGTTGTTTTCACCGACTTCAATTCACTATAACTTTCTGTTTTTGTAAGTTTTGTGTGATGCTATGTTTACGTAATACCCTTGGTTGGACTCATACATACTTATGATTATACCATCTTAGCAAGCATTCACAAATGTGTGCCGATGGTGTGGCGGCAGAGCCATGGCAGCAAATGTGGCTTGTCTTTGGACGACAATGTTAGTGGTGGGCGCTACTTCTACCCTCCATTATGTGGTTTATTCCTAGTGGCGGGTGAGAACAGGTACCTCTGGTGGGTAGTAAAGAAGGCCCGCCACTGTAATTGATCTACCAGTGGTGGGCGAGCGCCGGCCATTGATGCCATGTTACCAGTGGCGGGAGAGCTTGAGAGCCTCGCCCGCCACTAGTAGGCATTCTTGCAGTAGTGCTTGTATCGAATCAGCAGATTTGGTTTTTGTTACTTTCCATCGAAGATGATTGTGGTCCTCTAGGCTTGTGGGTTATCACCCTATAAGACTTCAACCAGATGCCTAAATGGGAAGACTATGGTCGAGACTTTGGAATCCCATTTCCCTTTCTCTTGCAGGAATTCAACAAGCCCCACATGAACTCGTGACTGGCAGGTCGCATGGCACTCGGGAAACTACTAATGAGGTTATGAGACGTCGTTTACTAAGGTGTCGAGTCAGGAGCTCGGTGCCCCTCCAGCAGTGAAGCACTTCGCTTGGCGGATGGCTACAGATGCACTTCCTACCTGGAAGAAGAAACATTGGATTGGGTTGGAGACTACGAGTGTATGCCCGGTGTGTGGAATAGAAGAGGAGGATAATTTTCATCCGTTCGTTCGGTGTCAGTTCGGGCGGGATTTGTTTATGGCTATGGCTAAGGTATGGAGGCTGCCTAACATAACTTCTATACTGAATAACGGAAAGGAATGGCTGCTACATGTGTTGAGTCCTCTTACTGAGCTTGGGCGCACAATGGTACTAATGATCTTTTGGAGAAGTTGGTTTGTTCGTAATGAGCTTACTCATGCGAAGCCTGCACCGCCAATGGAAGTGTCAATACGTTTTTTGCAAAGCTACTTGGAATCTTTGCTGGGCATAAAGCAAAACCCACAAGCCGATCCGGTCAAGGGAAAAGCTTATGTGGAGTGGAAAAGCTTGAGGAAGAGGGGGAGCGATGCTGCAGCACAGGAAGAAAGTAGATGGACGAAACCGGATGAGGGCTAGTGCAAAGTAAACACAGATGGCTCTCTTGCTGTGTCTGGCGAAGCTGGGGCGGGGATGATCCTGCGTGATCACCTGGGTGTCATCAACTACTCGGCTTGCAGGGCCTTGTACTCGTGAAGGGATCCCCTCGAGGCGGAGCTTTGCGCGTGTATGGAGGGCTTGTCATTGGCAATTCAACGGTGTGACATGCCGCTAGTGTTGGAGTTGGATTCTTCGGAAGCAATCACACTCATATCAAGTTCTGATGTCGACCGGTCAGTTTATTCCTCGATTGTCAGAGAGATCAAGCATCTGTTGGTCTTAGGAATACTTGTATTTCCCTTATATCTAGATCTTAAAATAAAGCTAGTGATAGGTTAGCAAATTTCGCTAGAACCCAAGGTAGGACCATGACTTGGTTAGGTGCTGGTCCAGTTGAAGTTATGGAAATAGCATCCGATGATTGTAAGGACCTTGTGATTGATTAATACATTGCTATTTCACCCGTAAAAAAAAAGAGTCAGGAGCTCGGGCACATGCACCAAGCCAACTTGGCAGACAAAGGAGCAGTCCGATGCGACCAAGGGACGCGAGCCCACTAATAGTCCGACTTGAGCCTGTAAGGGATGCGAGCCCACTAATAGTCCGACTCGAGCCTATAACCCAAACTGGACCAAGTATATTAGCTGAGCTAGGGACCCTCTGGGGCCAAGACACGACATCCTAGAGCCATCTAGCTAGTGTTTCCACCTACCCCTCATCTTCCTCCCAGCTGACGCCATGGGCCAAAAGCTTGTAATACAAGAAGCACCTCTCTTCGGAGATCTTCCCGATCGCTGGTCAACACTCAAGCAATACAACCACCAAAGGCGTGATTAGGGTATACCTCCTCCTAGAGGACCCGAACCTGGGTAGATCATGCACGTGCGCTACCACCTTGAACAAACCTGCTACCACTCACAGCACTGTCAGTCTCAAAACACTGACAACACACTTTCCTACAACAAATTTCATTTGCAAGTAGATCAACCCTTTGTACGTGGATTGTTTTATACACGAAAGAAAGTTAGGATCACCAGAATAGATTGTTTGCAGATTAGACAGTTAATATGCCGCGACATGGTAAGCTGGTTGATGTAGTTAACTGGTAAGTTGTTTGTGAATGATATAACAACAGGCAGAACCGAAGTATATGTCGCTATCATCCAGCCGCACAATTATACTCCCTCTGTCCCATAATATAAAAACGTTTTTGACACTACAAAAACGTTCTTATATTATGGGACGGAGGGAGTATATGATAATAACCTTAATTTCGTTTGCTGATACAAAACATAACCTAGTTACATCATTCCACAGTTTTGTTTGATAGTCACTAGCTCACGCCACTCAAAACTCGCCATCACATTCTAACTAGAGTGCAAATTACATTCTTGTGTATATCAGCATATTCTGTTTGGAAATTATGCATCTGTGATATGCATACACATTTCGTTTCAAGAAACAAAAAACCACAAAACTAAGACTTGTTCTACACAAATTGTGCCGGACATCGTTCGGCTTTAGTTGAGTACTATAGTTTCCATAGGGACACTTTGCGCCAACTTTTGGTTAGCTTTATCCACCACCGCATCTTCCATTGAAAAGCATCAACATTATAACAGAGCATCAGATTATGCATAAACATACTACATATTTGGTAGTACATAAGCGGGTAGCAAAGTGAATACATAATTCACCTTCTGCGCCCCATTTGATGTGCTGTAGCGAGAATATTATACAGAAGTTTACCATGTCAACAACTTTTCTTTCGCCTGTTGAAGTACCAGTACTAGCAAATTAAGTACCAATAAACAAAGAATAACCCTGGACGCAACGAGGATCATGACGGAGTTACCATACCCATGATGAAAGTTTTAATCCACAAAATAATTGTTGAGTACGATATTGGCATTTGGTAGCCTCCTCCCAATTCCCCACGAAAGTTCGACCAGTTGGTGATCATGGTCCTCCTCGTACACAACTTCTATGACCTTCAACTTCGGGCACAGGAAAGTATTTTGGTCATGTCGCTGAAGAATTATGTTTTTCCTCACGAGCTGCCCCTCTTTCTCCGATTCTACTGGAAACTTTTGACAGGACCACAAGATTCATGTTAGAAGCTAAACAAAACATGAGATAGACCAGGAAACACAAAAAGGTTAATTACCATGCAGCACTGCAAGGTAAGCTTCTCCAAACAAGGAGCATTCTGAACAAAGCTCCCTAAAGCGTCCAGCTTGGTATCGAGTTCACATTTATCAAGCAAACATTGTTCAAGTGACAAGGTTTGCAGGTTAGCAAAGATTGGGAATTTAATCGATTCCTCAACGAGCATCGCCTGGAATATATACAAAACAAAACTGAATTTAAGCATCACTCAATTCTCAAAATATTCCTCAAAGATCCATCCTTTTACTGATGCATAGTATTGTATGCCATAATTGTCAAAACATTCCTCACATGAAACAAATCTATATGGATATCAAAAGTAAATAATGAACCTTATTTAACGGTCAATTCAATTGGTCACTCGTGTGCAAGATGAACAGATAATCTGTTAGGAACACATGGGAATTTTTACTTGCAACATAAATGAGTAAACACAAGAAACATGTCTAGCAAGGCATACCATTGCGTGGAAACCCGATAGCTGCAGATTTGGCACATTGCACAGGTTACCGAGAAGCCGTTGTTGATGTTTCAAATTGAATGCTTCACCAAGACAAAGCAAATGAATCGATGCTTTGACAAGAGAAGCCGTCTCATATATTGAAACACCGTTGGAATAGCATCCATATGAAATACCCAGTTGGAGATATGCAACATGGGGTGCCACGATAACCACCGGATCACCAGAGAGATTGCCACAGGAGTCGACGACTAGCTTCTTCAATGTGCTTGACTTAATTTCTTGAAAACCATTGTCGCAGCTCCTGAGCACCAAATCTTCCAGGACAGGGCACCCGAAACAGAGTAGCTCTGCGAATTGGTTGTCCAGATAGAAACCATTAAGATGCAACCTTTTAAGGCGGCAAGAACTTGCTCCCATATGAGGAAACTGAATGCGAGGACGCAAAGAGATAATAATCTCGATCACTTGGGGGCGGTATTTGATACCACGTCGCACCCATCTATCCAAGTCCCGAAGGCGAAGTGCACAGGCACGACCAGTACCAGCATATAGCCGGAACTTATCCAAGGACGCGACATTGTTGTGGAACAAGAGCAGGTTGGTGGTGAAGTCCTCGAACTTGCGCCATCTCTCCTGCCGCTCGTCGAGGTCACCCCCTGCCCCGCTCCCAGTGGTAATCTCGAAGTCGCGCTCTTCGATGCTTATGCAGGGGGTAGAGCGCCAGAGGTCCCTCCACCGCCGCGACAGCACGCTCGTCCGCACGACCTGCGGGGCCGGGAGAAAGGACATGACGGCGTGGAGGAGGCCGTCCGGCAGGTCGCTTAGACGGTCGCCCGCGAAGGCGACGGCGTGGCCGCCGCCTGAGCTCGCACGCTTCGCCGCTGGCTCTGGCGACATCTCCTCTTCCTGTGCAGCACCTACCCAATCAGATCTGCTCTTGATTATTCTTACGCTCTGGAACCCCCATAGCCACGCGAGTCAGCTGCCCCGGGATCACTAAGCCGAGAAATCTCCGAGGAGGCCCGTAGGAGGGCACGTACAATAGTGGCATATGGATACATATGCCCTATGACAAAAAGTAATTTGAGACACTTACATTTATTTTTTCTTTCCAATGCAAGCTATCATTAGTGGGCCTCATTAAAAAATAGAAAATAAAGACTTTAGTACACATGCATCTCTATTTTTCACTTCAACCTTTTCAGTTTTTGTCTTCGGACCACACTTTTTCTGTTCAAGCACCTGCCTCCTGGAGAGGATCCCGTTTCCCTATCCGAACCTACTTTACGTCATATCCGAACCTACGTGGCATGCGAGGCATCACCTTAAGGCTATGCATTGTACATGCCCTGAGGAGTAGCTCGCCACCACATCCGTCCAAGCGTGGACGGCGATCGGGTTGGCGGCGGCCGGTGGCGCTTGAGGGGATGGTGGGGGAGGGTTTGGGGAATGGCCCCTAGCGGGTAATACGAGAGTGACGCCTAGAGACCAACTACCTGGGCCGGCCCATGTGAGTTCTCTTTTTGTTTTTCTTTTCTTATTTTTTTTCTTTTCAATTATTTTAATTTATTTTTCCCTAAAAAGCATTTTAATTTATTTGGTTCTTATTGTTTAAATAAATCTTTTTGGCGGACCAACCTATGATTAGATGATTAGGAGGAGAGTGGTATCCCAGCCCACCAGGGTTCAAGTTATAGATTGGTGCTCACATTATTCCTGAATTTATTTCGGCCTTCCTGTGATGTTCGTTCAGTGGGAGGAGACATTCCCGTCGACTGCGAGACGCCTATGGTAACTTCGTAGATTTTCAAGATATTATATCAGCTCAGTCTCTTAAAGGTGCTCATAGCGATAGGATGTGTGTGCATGCGTTTATATGGGTGAGTGTATGTGAGCGACTTTGATTGTACTATGTTTAAAAACATTTCTTTTGTATTTAATTTCATATAATTTACTAAATTTTCTATTATTACTATTATTATTATTGTTGTTGTTGTTGCTATTATTTATGTTTTACAATACTCACTACATGTGTTTCCGCAGAATCACAAAAATGGTATCAACTAGCTTCCTCGTCTCCACATTTCAATCCACATATGACTTGTACACTAACAGCCTCTTTTTACCAACACTATCCGCCACCAAATGCCTGCTTTACACCACCGCCATCTCGGCCCCCTCCTCTCTTCCATCCTACGGCTTCATTGGTAGTAAGAGGAGTCGAGCCTCGTACCTTTTGTTCTCTTACTTCTAGTAGGTCCTTGTGTTTCCTTGTGCTTTTGTTCCCTAGTAGCCTAGTAGGATTGATGAATAGCATTGGTGAGTTGGTGGTGGCAATGTCGCGTTGGAGTTAGGTCTTTTTGGCCTCACCCTATCTCGACGACCTCCAATTTGACGTCAGTGAAGGGTATGTGACAGTAGGTGTTGTCAAATTTGTTGCTACGTCGGGTAATGCCCTAAAAGATATTCCTTCTGAAGTTACTAGATGTAATTTAGATCATTGAGTTCCTATTGCATTCTTCAAAGCTTGGTATGACAACGGTGTTTAGATGTGTCTCTTTCTCTTTCTGTCGCTTCAGTGCAATTTTCAAGCTCTGGCAAGCAGCTTACAATCAATGAAGGAGACGAACAAATGGATTTTGATATTATTTTACTTATTGTTCGCTTATTTTGTGCCTTATTGTCTCTTTGTTTTAGTGGTTACTATTTCCCTTGATATTTACATATGTCATGCGTATCTTTTCTAAAATATCACATGATGTTAATTTTTCACACGTAAAACTAGATAGTTTTATCAAAAACTTCAACCATTGAAATATTGTTGGTTAAAATTTCATTGACAATTTGAGAGTCAGAAATTCATGGAAGGTGGTTGGAGTCAACCGAAACTGGTAAAGGAGATGTGGCCAACTCATGATAATAGTAGAAGTTTCATTTTGTTGTGAGAACATTCCATTTTTGTTGTAGTAATGGCTCTAATCCTACTTAAGGTCCCACCCCCTATACAAGTACACTACGAGTCATTGCCACAGGGACAATCAACACAACTCAAAGCAGTCAACAAAAGTTCAAGCCAACCCTCATGGGTTCAAGCAAGCCACCATGTTCAACAAAAGTCCAAATAAGATTTCATGGTCAACAAGTCAAAGGAAGAAGACCATGTAAAATAACAAGTTAAAGAGGAATGCCACAGAGAAAAAAGGCAAAAGCAAAAAAAACAGCCAATTGGTGTAGGGATTCAACCTTAATGGGCCATAACCCACCTCCTAGCGCAACTAGAGGCACATGGGCAAGGACAAAAAGTTACCTAGTTCTACCCTCCCACCTCCTTACTTTAAGGGTAGCCTTGGTAATTTTTCAAGGACCCCAAGGCTATACAAGGCTCCCATGGCATGTAAGTCACTAACTCCCACTTGAATAAATTTAGAGGAGGGTCACTCTCCCTTTCTAGCTATCTCGGGAGAGTTAGGAAGTCAGAGATTCGGAGTCTGAGGGATCTTGAAAGGCCCGGACTAGTTGGGAGTCGTGGAACTCCAGAAGTGCAACACTCTGAGTGTTTCGTGCGCCGAGCACCACTCTCGAAGTCCCTTCCGTAGGATGTAGGTTGTGCTCCCATGAGGCGACTGAAGCTATTTAAAAAAATCACTATGTCACTTTGTTGTACGGTGACCTTTGCTATAAGGTTGTCATACACCCCCCACCTACTAATCTTTAACCAAGTGCTAAGGATACCCCCGATTGAAAGTTGATTCTTGAATGTCTACATTGGCGCCAACCGTGGCGAATGCTCGTCATGTGAAAAGTCACCCAATGATCTCAACTAGATGGCCCGACCAAATGACCTAAAAAAAGATTGAAGCATCAAAAGAGAAGGCCTTGACCACAAGGTCGAAGAAGAAAGATGCGCCTCGGAGGCAAAACTCGAAGATCCTGCCCCCGCCAAGATCCGATCTGACATCGATAAAGGGTATGTGAGAGTATGTGTTTCCAAATTTGTCGCTATGTAGGGTAATGCTTCAACCGATGTCGTTCCTTCAGAAGTTACTAGATGTAGTTTATAGCGACAAGTGCCTATTACGGTCTTCAAAGTCTGGTATGACACAAGGTTTGCATGTCTCTTTCTCTTTCTACCGCTTCAGTGCAATTTTCAAACTCCGACAAGCAACATATAATTGAAGAAAAAACATGCAACATGGTTTTTGATGTTTTTTTGCTGCTTCTTTATGTCTTGTTGTCTATTTGTTCTAAAGACGGACAACATGGTTACTGCATTCCTTGATATATGTATCTTTTCTAAAGTATCAAAAAAAATGCTATTTTATCACACCTAAAACTAGAGATAGTTTTATTCAATGATTGCACTTGAAATATTGACGGTTAAAAGTTAAGAGAAATTCATGAAAGTTGGTGGAAGTCAATCCAAACTGGTGAGGTGAACTCATGATAATAGTGTAAGTTTCATTTCTGTTGGGAGACCATTCCATATTATAATGGTTGGATGGTTGGTACTTTGTACTACATTCATCCTGGTTTAGTAGAACTCATTGTATTTTGGGTTCTGAATGCATGTCATAAAAAATTATATCGTTGGATTCGTATCTGAATGTAATTTTTAGTGATATAATTTTTTGCTACGTATAATATATATTTTATTAGTTAAAATTGTGGTCAAAATATGTGCCAGAATATGAAAGGGACTAGTAAACCAGGACAGAGGTAGTGTGATCGTATATCATATACCTAGCGAGCAACCCGAGGTATGACATCACGTGTGTCTCACCAAAAGAGATTATTCTTTTGGTGGTATATTATTCTTTTGGTGATAGGCAATATACTACTCACTCTAAAATTGAACATAAGACATTTTTTTTGACATTGTCATAGTGTCAAAAAAATGTTTTATATTATAAGTTACCGAGGGAATGGTTGATAGTTAAACTATTGACTCTGTTAATGAGTTTCTTCTATTTATGTGTGGCACCTAGGGCTACAATGGGAGGTTGTTTGTTTTTCTTTCATGTTGGGTTTGGTGGCCAGCACCGGCTAATATGGAGGCTCCAGTTCCGGCCAAGCTATTGCACGGTCAGGTCCGACAAGCGCACGTCGGCAGCGGCCAGTCGAGCCAGGGCGGGATGAGATGTGGTTGGTTGGAACCTTGGTGAGAACAGATGACGGGCGGAGATCCGGGCCACGACTGCGCTCGCTCGTCTAGGTGGAGGCCAGACAGATGTGCGACGAGATCCGGGCGGCTGGAGGAGTAGGAGCATTGGACATGGGAAAGCTTCAACTCAAGCTTGAGTTCGGACAGAAGAAGGGGAAAGATGTGGATTGGAGCGTATCGATGCAACACATCAATATTATGATTTGCATTTGTGTTTTCTTTCACACGAAGTCTGGAGAGGGAGTGCGTGGGCTGGCGTGGACACACATCCGTGCGATGGAAGGGTCGCACGGATGGTCGCATGCAGCGGCCGCAGGCAAGCCACGTTCGGAGGAATAGTTACATGCATTGGCATGTTTCCATTCGATCCTTGCTTACGTTGGTTTTCTTTTTGCGGGAAAAACTTCCAATCTATTTATCTTCAATCATGGTAGTACAACGAACACTAGAAATAATGAAAAATACATCTAGATCCGTAGACCGCCTAGCGACGACTACAAGCACTGAAGTGAGCCGAAGGCGTCGCTGTCATCGCCCCTCCGTTGCCGGAGCCGGGAAAACCTTATTGTATTAGACAGTCGGGAAGTCGTTGTACTAAGGCCTCATAGAACCAACACGCCAGAACAACAACCGCCGCCGAAGAGTGTAGATCGGAAGGATCCAACTTGATGACACACAAACGAAGACGAACGACGAACAGATCCGAGCAAATCCACGAAAGACAGATCTGCCAAAG